GCTGTACCCGGACACTAAGAACTCAGAATATTCGTTCAAGGGCACAGGCAGTTACTGGGGTAATATCTTCTGTTGGGTACTTCCAGATGGAGATGGTGCCTCTTGTTGTTGCCTGCAGGAGTTGAGAAGATACACTCTCCTCCTGATTACCTTGTCACACCATTGATGGGATTTGAGAATTACTTTGGGGCCTTCCGCTCCAATTGAATTACAGAGATTTAATTTCAGTGGTGTTAAAGAGGAAAGACAAAGTAACAGTCATTAAATTAAAAGCATGCACTTTTGCCAAGACATCCCTACCCCCACCTGGCCCCCGGGGGTTTATTTCCTTCTTCTAGTCCCCAAAGAGATTAACGCTCTTTACTAGATTTTCTAAACTGAAATGGAGCAGCCCTTCTTTTCTCAGTGTTTCCACGAGGTGCAGATGAGAACAGAGCAGAACCCCAAGAAAGTACCAGCTCTGCTGGGGTGGGGGGGGCGGGCGGTGAGCTCAGTTGCCATGAGCATGGGGTTGCCCCATAATATCCAACCTCAACCGTGTGTCTGCCATCAGTTCCTGGGCTGCTCGATTTCTGAGCCTTCACAGGTCTTTTTTTCTCCCCCTTTGCCGTTCTCTTTGCTACGGCTCCTCCTTGGTGTGCTTTGCAGCCCTGCCATTTCCCCAAATCCTACTCCTGGAAAAGGATTAGCAAAATTACACAGTATTGCTGCTACTTAACATTCAGGAAATGCAGCACACACACACACACGTTACCAATCATGCTCACCAGATGGCAAATGTAGCTCTTTTCACCAGAAAGTGAGCAGCGAACATTCAAATTCGTCACCAACATTTAAATTCACACCCATTTTCAATTTGACATCTTTGATGGGTTGGTATAATGAAAAGCAGTATTTTATCCCCATATTGTTAACTATTTTTAACAGCTACAATAATGCAGATTTGAGATTTTTTAAAAGTTGTCATTAAACAAATCTCACTACAACTTGCAATTTTGATACACTCTATACCTATGTTTTTAATATCTCAGGGTTCTGTATTCAGAATGGGCTAATGGGAATGGCACAGGGTAGGAAGAATAAGAATCTAGTAGCTGATGTTGGGGTCTGTGTATTTTTTTTTTTTAACACCACTGCTTAAGTTTAGTGGTTACCTTTTATTAGTTTATAAAAAACTTGAAGATCGATTAGTCTCTCTTATTGGACTGTATTACGAGACAGGAGTTGAGAGCCAGGGAGCCCTGTCTCCTGAGTCTCAAGTATAAATTTCTGCCCACCTAATGTTCCCTGAAGTTCTCAGAGTTTTGGCCTTGGCTGGTTATCAACTAATTAAATGGCATCCCTGGCTCATTCCATTTCTCTGCACTTAAGAGTGAAGAGTGGTTGTTAGGAGCTGATTGTGTACTTCCCCTAAAATCCATGTTGAAGTCCTAACCTCTAGGACTTCAGGTTGTGACTGTGTTTGGAGATAGGACCTTTGAAAAGGTAATTAAGGTAAAATGAGGTCATGTGAATGGGGCTGAATTCAATGTGACTGGTGTGTGTACAAGAAGAGATTGGGACACAGACAACACACAGAGGGGCGGATCCATGCAGGGACAAAGCAAGGCAGCCGGCTACAAGCCAAGAGGCTTTGGAAGAAACCAAACGTATTGACACCTTGATTTTGGATTTAGGCTCCAGAGATGTGAGAAAATAAATTTCCGTTACTTAAGCCCCTTAGTCTGTGGTATTTTGTTACGGCAGCCCTAGGAAATACAGTGGTCCAGACTGGAGGAAAATGCATGTAATGTAGAATTTACATTCTACATTTCTCTGTAACGCAGACATTGTGTTATTAATCAGGGCTTGTTATTCTAAGTAACGGAAATCAAATCCAGCCAACTTAAGCACACATAAGGAATGCATCCTAAGGATACAGTGGTAGCTCGCGACACTGGAGGGACGCAGCTGGCCTCAGAAATGCACTGGATCCAGGGCCTGGAGCTCTGTCAAGATTGTTTTCATCTCTGCTTTTCACAGTGTATCTGCTTCAGTTTTCTAATCTATCCCAATTTCGGATTCCTGGGGAAGAGACTCACTGGCCCAGCTTGAGTGAGGGACTCACCCCTCGCCCCATCGTCCTGCTAGAGGCAGCAGGGTCACAGGGCACACATCAGCTGTCAGGGCCCTGCGGGGAGGAGGCATTCTCAGGAAAGAAGAGCTCATCAGACTGTGGAATAAGTCCTCCATGCCACGGAGGGTCTGTCCCCTCTCAAGGGCAACGGGGAGCCAAATATCTGAGGTTTCGTGTGCTACAGCGGAATGACCAGTGTGTTAACGGTTTGGTTATAAATAGCAAAATCAAAGCAAGAGCAGACTGAGACCTCATCCAGACCCAGAACTGCTTGCAACCTATGGCTGTTTCCCGACTGAGGAGAGACAAAAAAGAGACACCAAGGATGTTGACAAAATATGTGCACACATCAGCTAGAAGTTGACTGGTGACCCATTGAAATTCCATTATACAAATGGTGCAGAATGCCTGTAACCCCAAAAACGATGGGCAAGGAAACACAACATAAACCCAGACTGGTCTCTGGTTTTATATGCATTTGGGGAGCCTATATCATTACTCTCGGAGAAGAAGAGGGGGAAAAGGATTAAACAATGCTTATTGATCTGGAGAAGAGACAAGTATAGAAAATCCAGGAAAGACAAACTTCCAAATAAATCAGAATCAGACAAAAACGGTGACCAGTCTGAATGAGCCTGGAAAGGGCACCCTCACAGCTGCCACGCGCCGTTTTTGCTCTGTTACCCCTCCTCTCCTACCTGGTCCCCGGGCCTGAGGGCCCCACTTAGGCTCTGTCTCCTCCACAATACCTTCCCTGACTGACCACACGATGTGGCATTTTATCTTTCCGAAACTTTTCTGTGGCCACCGTGTCCCCATGTACCTTACACCTCCTAGGGCTGAGGCCCACGTGACAGGCTCTTCCCCACTGTCTTACAGGGCCTCATACACCTCTCGTGAACATCTGTCGCCTGACTAGTTGTCACCGGTTGAACAGAAAATGGTCAGAAATCCACTTGCTGGGCACCAAAAAAAAAAAAAAAGAAAAAATCTGAGATTAGAGAAGGAACAAATATCCAGGTATATTCCTTTTTAAGATAAAAACTTTATTTTACAATTTTATAAAGCAGCTTTACATGAAGCACAAACAATCCATTTACTTTGTATAGAAACAAAATACCTTTCCATCTGCAAAAAATCAAGTTTTGCTGTATAGAAAACTAACATGTGCACATTGTGCTTAAACCCCAAAGTCTGTACAGCTTTACAAAGGACCACCCTTTAGAAGGGCATCCAGTAAACACTTTATTGCATATTTGACACATGGTCTCTAACCCACATGTACAATGGAGGAGAAACAAGAACCACAATTGCAACAAGGAAGAAGACAGCAGCTTGCGGCCAGAGTCCGCACCGGGCGAAGGGAAGGACTGCCACGTCTGGAGCTGGGCTCGAGCCATCTCTGTATCTGCTCACGTACACTGGATGCTTTTTGGATGAAGCCTTTATGTACAACAATCCCAAAGGGTCAAACTTGACCTTTATCTGGAAACTTTTGGCTGGTTTTACAACTGAAGTGGCAACAGATTTAATTTAACATCAAAGCTAACTCAAGTGTAAAAAACGAATACCCATTATCTGGGAAACAAAGAAAAATTTAAAGAAACAAAACAAAATAAAACTTTAAAATACCGTCCCCATTCTCTCTAAGCTCAGAATAAGTAAACATTTTACATGATTTAAAAACCTATAAAGAACGCTGTAGGTGTTTTGGAACAAAAATGCAATTGATGGTCTTGGGCAGTGCTCCTCCATCTGCCCTGCAGATCACCTGCACCAGAAAGATCTGAACGCTTGTTAAAAATGCAGACTATCCTGCTTCCCAGGCAGACTTAGTGACTGTCGGCATCTGTAGCTCAGGAAGCTCCCAGGTGATTCGGAGGCACCCGAAAGCCGGAGAACCACACTGGCGGAGCTGCCACAGGTTCAACTCATCCTCTTAGAAAATTCTGGGATCACAAGAAAAATCAAGTTGCTGTTGCAACGTGGAAGGCAGTGTGAAACCAACAGCAGTGAAACAGCAATGCCATTTCTAGATCAAAATGTCTTTCCTTTTTCAGTGGAAAAGGACAGCCACATTGTTAAGGCACTGATATTTGTCACGGAAGCAGTACCATGCTGTTTTCATGGAATCCCTTAGTCTGAAGGACCAGTATGCAAACACAGCAGAAGTCTGGACCGCTCTCAGTAATAACAACCAAGATGAAGGGCAAAGGGTTTCCCAATTGGAGAAAGTTTATGTTGGGGCACTGAAATAAAAAAAGGAGTCCAGATATTCTTGCGGAGACATCTAATCATGTCTAAGAATGACAAAGGTCAAAAGCCAGGGGGAAGCTTAATAACCCACAACTGTTGTATTGTGGGAGGAAGAGAGTTGTGGTCATGTAACTTGGGAGTTTAAGCTTCCTTTTCCGTGGCCGCTTTACTACTGTCTTCAATGTACATCTATATTGTCTTCTTTGCTCCTGCTCCCTTTGCCACTAATATATATATTTTGCATGTTTATTCCATTCATAGATATGTATATAGTTTCTGGTTTCTAAGTAGTGTCAGTAGGCTGAGTTCGATTTAAGATGCAGTACGTAGGCAAGTGCCCACGTGGCTCTTGATGTGCATTTAATACAGGTCACAAACTGTGACGTGTTTGTCAGACTCAGTCTCCTGAAAGTGTGGGGTCTCATGTTTCAATCTGTGTAAGTTACAGTACTCATTTAGTGTACTGTCATACATTCAACAAAAACAACAAAATCAACCTCGCTTGATTCTGATAATGCCTGAAGCCCTACAGCAGACACTGCCCAGGGTACAAGGGTTGTGAAACCTATTTATGTGAGGTAAGGTATAGCGGGACAGAAAACCCAAATAAAGGTCTGGTTACAAACGTACAGCAAATGCGGTAGCATCAATCACTTCTATCCAAGAGCTGAAATAATTTAAAATTAAAATTGCAAAGGAAAAACACTCATGTGCAGAGTCAATGGTCTGGAAAGTTGATGACCAAGAATGATCCAAAAGTAGGGAAAAAACCTGCCACGATTCTTGTGTGTAATATCTGACATAGTATTTTTCTTTAAAGAGGGAAAAAAAAATCCTGAAAGGGTAGTCGGAATGGATTAGCCCCTTTCTCCAATAAAATTTCCACAACGTCCCAAAAATGTCCCCCAAAATAGACAAAACTCTCAAGTATAGTCTGAAATGAAATACAGAATTCTAGACAGTGACAAAAAGAAACCATCACAGCAGGGGTGGGGAGGGATCCATTGATTATCAAATCTTTACTGATTGTAGATCAAGTTTCATAAAACATAACATTTTTGTGATTTCTTGTGCAGTCAACAAGTTTTGTTTTAGTTGTGCTTACATTATATAACTGTGAAGCCTGAACACTGGTTGTGTTTTTAATTTACACATTTCAAGAAAACCGTACATTCAAAATATTCTCCATATATAACAAATTCAAGAAACGCAACACGAAGTTCGCCAAGAAATTAATCTGTAGAAAAGAAACATCATTTTAAAAAGTTGCACACAGTCCACTATTCAGGCTGCGAGTACACATTTACTGTATTACAGCACATTATTTTTTTTAAAGTTTGTTTCCAACATAAACATAAATCATCACATTTTAAAAGAGACCCATACTAAGTTTTCAGGTACGTGCTGGACAGTTGGCCAGTAGCAGCTACTTACCAGTGTCTTCCCCAGACCCAGAGGGACTGGACCATCTGTGGAACTGTAGACGTTATGTAATAAGCAAGGCAAAGTTAAACATCCCTGTTCAGCCATTGACTAAACACTTTTCTGCTCCAAGTGCCACCCATGTTTCGAAACACCCAACCCACAGAATGCAATTATCTCAGAAGACTGGTTTATCACTTCGATGTAATCCACAAAAACCTAGTATACCACCTTTTAAAATGTGCCTAAGCTCTGCTGAGATAGGGCCCATGGTTTTTGTGTACGGCAGAGGCTGAAAGATGATTTTGGTTCTGAGCTCTAGTTGTGCTTTGCCCTGCTGCCTTTAAGGTAGCTTTTCCACCTCTTGACAAATTCTTTGAAGATTGGGGACTCATCGATGGTGCTGAGTAGCTGCAGCTGATTGATGTGAGTGGTGTGGTAGTCCCAGCGGGCCAGGTTGGGGGCAATGCCAAGCATGAAGTGGCGGAGGTCATAGATGGTCCCTGAGCCAGTGTCATACAAGGGGAGCATAGCTTTAAGAGATTCCATGCCTCGCTCGTACAAGGACCTTGCTTCTTTCCCAAGTTTTTCCCCTGCAGTTTCTTTTAAGTCATACAGCCCAATTAAAGAATACATAAAGCCATTTAAAACGAAAGAGCTAGGTGTGGTTGGATATTCTTCATACCAGTCATGTTTATTCATAAACACAGCCTTAACTCCATGCTGCTCTGACAGAAACTTGTAAGGGGCTGTTGCCCTTAAAGCTGAACTGAGGAATAAATGGTCTTTTGTCAACAGATAGGCTCTGACTAATGTAGAAATGGCTTGCCCTTGGGCCATGGCAGAGTACCACCCTGGCTCTAAAGACTTGAACCCCTCTCCTAACTTACGGGTCACCATAATTGGCCAGCCACCTTTCTCATCCTGGTTCCTTACCAGCCAATCACTGGCAGCAAAGAATGCGGCCATGTGGGCTGTGGTGGAGATGGTAATGTTGTCGAGGAATCCTTTCCCTTTTGCAATCAACCTAACCACCCTTTTGGGCATTATTTTGGTTGGCTTGACAGCTTTTGTGTTGGAAAGACCCACTCCTTTCCTGAGGTCAGTGACCAGGTCCCTTGTAACCGTGCTCCATGAAGTCCTAGGCCCAATGCCATAGTATATGTCTCTTTCTTTAAAAGCAATTAGTTGGGTATTTGAGACATAATGTACAGTGAAGAGCTGATTCTTTTCTGTGGTCTCTAGAACCACGGACACACTTCCATTTGTCAAGAACTTGAGGTCAAATGAAATAATAAAATCTTTTGTGTTCCCCAGTTGCAAGGATACACCTTCACTGGTTTCTGTAGGGGAAAAACATACCAACAAAGACTAGTTAAAAGAAAAGCTCTTTGTATTAAAATTTAATTGCAATTCATCTTTGATAACCACTAACCACACAAAATTAACACTTCAATATTTTGTGTCCTATGATTATCATCATCAATTATTTTACAAAAGTAACCATAAACAAATGATAGAATTGACAAGTCCATGATGGCTTTCAAGCATCAGGCCTAATTTACACTAGAGGGTTAAGAGCAAATGGATAAGGTACTGTTGATCAAACTGCCTTTAATAGGTCAAATGCTAGCTGAACAATAATCAATGACTGTTTTAATATATCCATTTTATAAAAAGAAAAAAAAACAAAATTGGCTCAGCACATTCTGTGAGAAGCTAGATTACACATGAATTAAATTTTTTTATTTAATTAACATTTAGTAGGTATTTACTATGTCCTAATTTATATATTATATTAACTCACATTAACTCATTTATTCCTCATATTAACTCTATTTTAATCCTCATAACAATTACAAGAGTAGTGCTATTATTACTCTTACCTTATGGCTGACAAACTGAGACACAGGGAATTTATGATACAAAATGCTGAACCTAGGTTGCCTAGTCTGGCTCCACAATACACACTTTTTTTTTTGTAAGTTTGTTTACTTTTTTTTAATCTCTGTACCCAATGTGGGGCTCGAACTCCTGACTCCAAGATCAAGAGTTGCACACTCTCCCAGCTGAGCCAGCCAGGCACCCCTCCACAATACACACTCTTAATTACTAAATGATGCTGAAAATGATTGGTTTGTTTTCAGATATTTGCTGGAATTGGGAATAAAATTTCTGAAAATTAAGTAATGGGCTCAGGTAGTCAACAAGAAGTGATGGATACTGGGGGAGGATGAGGGAGAAGCATAGGCTTTGGAGTTAAAAGAAAAAAAAAAAGAAAGAAAAAAAAAAAAGCCCAAACCCCACAAAACCTTGTTTGAATTGTTTCTCTTCTACTTCCTAGCTTTGAGATGTTCAAGATGAAAGAGCTCTTTGAACTTCAGTTTCTTCACATGTTGAATAGAGATAATATTACTTTGCAAGGTAATTGGGAGGATTAAAAAAAAGAGTGGCTTAGAACAAAGTGAACATTGATAGCGATTATGATTATTATTCTGAAGCCATTGGCTTTCAGACTGATAAAATAGTAACAGCTGTTTTGTCTGGCAAATTACCAAATAGGAAATTTCTCTTGCATATCTATAGTACAATGATGGTGGATTCCCAGAAAGCTGACTTTCTGAATACTGCTGGTCTAGATCTACCAAGAAAAGAAACAGCATATTATAACCTATCAGCAGCAGCAGCAGCAAGAACAACAACAACAACAAATAGGTAGTGCATATTTTATATATAACCTTAAAGGTAAATATGCCTTGATCTCTATGAAACTTGTATTTTCGAAACACATTCTCATGTGTTATCTCATATGATCCTTACAATAATCTGAGGCTGGTAGAGCAGGAATTACTACTTCCATTTTAGAGATGAAGATATGGAAGTTTTGCAAGGTTAAAAGGTTTGCCCCAAGCCAAATGCTAATTAGTGGTAGAGTAGGGACCAGAAACCAGGATTCCTGGACCCAAGTTCAAAGACTGTGAAAAAGAAATGATACTGGATATGGCATTCTCATGAGCATAGTCGGTGGAAGTGTTATTTCTCTTAAACATAGCCACAGAATCACATCCACTTTGAGGAGTTCTCGAGGAAATCTTCAGTGTGTCACCAGGAGCAAGGACGAAGTGTGGACTGACGATAGTGTATACAGTGTGATTAACCTGGAGAGTCTTAGCATGTTGAGTTGGTTGTTCAAGTCCCCCAACACTGGACTCTACCAGTGTGGGATATAATTGATCCAAGGCCCTTAATGATTCCATTTGATGGAACAATCATGGAAGTTGTATAAGGAATGAGAACATCTTGATAGACTTACACATCAAATGATGCTTTGAGTGACTTTTTAAAAAGTGATTTCAGAAGCATACTTCTAATAAAAATCCATTTTATCTGGAAAAATGTCAACATGCAATCTCTTAACTAGCATTTTCCTATATCTTTGGTAAAATGGAATCTGACACTCAATACAACATTTCTGAAACACTGCAGGATTCTGAATTGACTGATGAATCGCTCAAGTTTCAATTATATTCAGTAGAGAAGGCTATCTTGAATGTTCCTTATTTTTTCATTCTTAGGGTAATGCCTCATTAATAAGGCAATATTGCTAACTATGACATCCATTCTCATGAAACTGGGTAACAGTGATCCAAATTTATTAGTCCAAATGGGAGGAAGCTGAACCTATTTTCCTCCCAGAATTCCATTCTAATTCACTTCATGAATACGAATCTATGAAATGATATGGTCTCAATTACCTTATGTTTCACTATAACAGATTAGTTCAAAGAACTCAGTAATAAATTATGTCATGGGATATAACCTTTCAAAAAAACTATTTTCCTAAAACCCCATCACCACCAGAGGGGGTTACTGAACCACACAGGAGAGACAAAGTTCCAATCCCCGACATGAATCAACCAACAATCGTAGTCTTCATAACAATCTTGTAAGTCTTTTAATTTCCATTTTCTAGATATACAGAGTAGTTAAAGTAGTCAGCATCGCTCAGAAGGATCCAAATGGTAGCAAACGGGATGTGAGTGTGGTTGTGGCAACCACTTTGGAAATGTAGCAGGCAAGGTCTGAGCTCTACTGAAGGTATTATGCTATCTGGAGACCCCTGCTTTAAATCTATTAGTAGAAAGTTTTGGGTTTTCCATTTTTTGAAATCCATGACTCCTTTTCTCTCTGAGCAGTTAAACCTGGGAGTCACTACAAGTGTTTATTCTTGGCATATGTGGTAGTGTATATGTCCCTTTAGGCAACAAAGGATGATAAACATTTAAGGACAGTCTCATAAATCAATGTTTTCACCTGTAACACAAACCATTAATATTCATTCGTTTTAATCAACAGGTTTACTGGGTGCAGTGAGAAGTCCTCCCTACTCAGAACCTTGAGGAATACCAAGCGATAAGGGCCAGGCAAAAGAAGAGAAGCTCACAAGAAGTCTGAGAAAGAATGGCTACACAGAGACAGGGGAGAAAGTGAGGTCATGGAAATGAAGTGGAGAGAGTGCTTCGGGAAAGGGAAAGCTAATTTAATTTAATAGAGTACGACAGGTATAAAGTTTCAGTTCATTCAATTTTAAAATTAGGCAGAGGAACAAAACATTATTCAACAAACAAAAGAACAAAAATATGCAGACCCATGTTCTGGTTCTTTCTTCTAGACAACTTAATTTCCTTTCAGGGAAAAAATTCAAGATCCAAAAAGAAAAAATAAAAGGCCAACAGCATTTGGCCCCTGGTCCTCCAGAGACTCACTTCATTGAGGCCTATGCTTTTATATACAGTTGCAATTTCTTCTCAACAGCGATTCTCTGAATTTATCTCCCATGAAGTCTACATCCTCTGAAAAGCCTCATCTCCTCATACCTGTCTTCAATACAACAGTCTCACCTCTTTGATTCCCTTCTCCTGCTCTGAGCAACAACTCCCATGTAATTCCAACTCACTTGCCCTCAAACACTTGGATCAAATGCACCTCTAGGCATGCCCAAGATATCAAAAGCACCCCATTCCCAGTTAGCACACTCCCACCAATAGTAGTTGTAGATGCAGTGGTTTTATCTCCATGGGCTGCAGAATGAAGAGGTAAAGTGAGGGTCCCTCACGTAGTATGAGGAGACTTATTTTTTGTATTACCCAGGGCATCCAGAAGTGCACAATGAAATCTATTGCTTTAAATAGGATAGAGTTCAAAGAACTGTTCTAGAAAACTTGCCAGCATTTGAGGAGATCAAGATTAGGACTGCTGTTTTCTACCCTAATCTAGACAACATTATTGATTAGTGCAAAAATAAGCTCCTTGGGTACAAACAAATGTCCTTTTGCAAAGTCTAATCATGTTCTGCTACAATAATCTCTTAGGTATCGCAAGCTACATATTCTTAAACATCTCCGCATACTTTCTCACCAATCAAGCAAAGATGCTCTATGTACTGGAATATCACAGAATACCATAGGAGAAAAGAAGTTCGAGTCACAGAATAAAAACTAAAGGTCACCCATTATTTGCACTGCATTAAGCACTCATAAATCTATTACTTAAGGCCATCTAGAATGAGTAGATTTGTATTGTGGCTTTCAAGGTCTGTGAATTACATGGTCATCAATAAAGGACGAGGAGAGAATACAGAAGAGGTCTTATAACCTTTTCTCTCGTTTTATTTACAGACTAAAAGGTTGGGGGTGGGGAGGAAGGAGTTCTGTTCTTGACAACATCTCCCCATAGAGAATTAAGCCTGAGGTGCTAACTAAAATTATTTCATTGTCTTTTTAAGTAATGGACTCATTAATTCTCATGGATATTGATTAGTGGAGAAAAATATATTACAAGCTAATTAATGAGACTGTCTTACTAAAAGGGGAAATGTTGCATAAAGTTAATTTGATTTTATAAATGATTTTATTAATGAAATGGTTTTATATGAAGTTTGAGACAATCTACTGCATTAACAAAACTCAATATGAGAAGCAGGCCTGGTTGCTAATGCTACAATATCTTGAAAAAGTAAAAAGCTGCTGGTAAAAAAACAGACAAAGGAAAGGATGGCATGCTCTATAAAGAATTTCTACCTTAATGAAAAATAGTTTAAAAGTTAAAGAATTAAATACTGTACTGAAATACTAAAATGAACTAAGGAGCATCATTCCTGTGGGACACAGATCCCTGGAAGGAGATCCTAATATTCAATCTATGGTTTGGCTTTTTAAGTAATTTTTTTATAACCTTGAATTTTTAGCTGTTCTTTTTCTAGGGATTTCACTTGGGTGACACCATTTGTTTCTTTATATAGATATAAAGGGTCTGCTAATGTGCTTTTTAAAACCATAAAAACAATTTTAAGGGAGTATCAGGTGCCATATATCAACATAAAATTAGCAGGCACATATAATAATACATCACTTACCTGGAGCAATGAACTGTTTAACATTGGTGAATCTAGACTTATCAGCCACACTAGCCATAAAGCACCCCTTTGGCACGGTCCAGTCGTTAGGCTTGCTGTTTCTGTCCCTGTCTTCTGCTGTTTCATACACCTCTATGTGAGGGGGTTTCTCAGTTAGATTCTTGCTGTAATGACTTAACCCATACTGTGCAATCTGGATTGGGTAGAAATAGCCTTGAGGTCCCCACTGTGTAGATAAAGGTACACCTATAAAATAGAGAAACAAAATAAATAACCATGTCTGGACACTTACAAGTATATTCTGAACACCACTCTTTACTGTTTTACCTCTGGGGCATGTTATAGGCTTATCTGCAACTTTCAAGCTTCTGTATTATACTGTTTTCATAATTATTTAAAAAAACTAGTACTAAATCAGATATGAAAAACAAAATGAAGGTTTTTTCACTCTCATTCAGTATTTGTTAACAGCAATGCAATGTTGTAGATTATCTTTTAAGGATTGACTTTTTACGTGTAACTTTTGCTCATAGCTATAGATGTCCTGTTTCATAACCCTGTTTCATACATTCAAATTTTGTACAATTTAAATACACGAAGATAATGTTACTACAGGTTCATCCTAAAATATTAATTGTGAAATTTTCTTAAATGTTTGTATTAACATTCAAGTTAATTACATACTCATCTCTCTCTCCAAAGTCAAGATGTGGTCTAATACCTATACCATGTGATGGCTAAAGTATTTGCTTAAGGAGCCAGTTATAACTAGGCAACTTAAAGTATAAACACAGCTTGCAATTGTTTTTCATATCCTTCATGTTAAAATATAATTCTTGAGAACAAGGTGTGTTTTTTTAATGAATTAAAATTGCACATTTAACCACAAATTTTTGACATAATTCATTAATGGATTACCCCTTTAAGGTTCTAAGCAAAACTTTTAAATGTTTGGTATTAGTGTTTTAGTAATTTTCTGTATGGGAAGTACAATAATATTACATTGCACAGAATACTGTATTGTTGCATCGTGGTCTATGTGTTGAGAGAGAAGCTCCTCTCTGGAGTTCTAAAATAAACCAACAAGTGTCAGATAGGCACAGCAGAAGCTAAAACCTACAAAACCATGTGTGTGGTGTAGTTTCAAAACAGTTTAAGGATTTAGGAACCATAAGGGCTAAGAAACCTAGGGTACAGATAAGCTCTTGACTTGTATTTTTTTCTCCAAGGGCAGGCTCCCCTCCCCATTCAAATAGAATTATTTTCACTTAATGAAAGGAAGGTTTATACAGGATCTCATTAAAGATGGGTGATAACTGTAACAATGTGCGACCAGCATAAGAATTGACAGACTGATCAATAAACAAGAATAGAGGCCAGAAACATACTCTGCTATTCAAAATGGCTTAACATAACGATGAAGACTGCATCATGAATCATTGGGGAAAAAAGATCATTCAAAACATGTGAAAGGAAAAATCTGAAATTATACCCTGACCTTGTACCATTTACCAAAATATAAATCAATCCTCTGGCCTAAAGAGCTGAATGTAAAAAAAACACAACCCTAATAAAACAACTAGAGAAAATACAGATGAATAGCCGATCATCACGTGGCAATGACTTTCTAAGCATAAAAGACGAAAAAAAAAAAAAAGTCTGTAAGTTCAGTAAATAGAACTAAAAACTACTAAAACTAACAAATCATAAGTAAAATGAAAGACAACCAAACTGAAGAAAATCTTTAACAAATGCAGCAAAGTATCATTATCCTTACTATATATAGAAAAGTTCACATGAATATTTAAAGAACCCACTAATCACATTAGAAAAAGGGGAAATAAGATCAAGATTTTATGATGATTAGAAGCATATGAAAAGTGTATGTGGCCTCACTGATGGTTATAGAAAGCGAATGAGATCCCTTTGTAAACAACAGATTAAAGAAACGATGTTCCATGACAGTAAGAGTGGGGTGACAAGAGCACCCTTCCTGGAGGCACAAGTAGGTTCAACTTTTTTGGAAAGCAGTTTAGCAAAATAGATCAATTTATATTATTTTACACGGCAGTTTATTTCCTAGGAAACTACTCCTAGACTATAATTAAGATAGCAAACGATGAACTATGAATATCTATACCATTACGTATAAAAGCAAAAAAACTGGAAATGACCTAAGTAGCCAACTAAAGAGAAAGGCTGCAAGTATTACATGTACCATGGCATATTCTTACTATGCATACTAGTCATTAAAATAGTCAATAAATACTCAATAACAAGGGGAAATAATCAAGATAGTTTAGATGAAAAAAGAATATAAATTGACCATACAGTATGATCCCAACTTGTTTAAAAAATGTGTCTCTACAACAACAAAAAGATTGAAAAAACATATCAAAATATTATTTAACAAAGGTTATGGGTACTTTTTACTTTTTCTTTAGCATCTAAACATCTTATATATTTTATACAACATATAAACATTTTATACATTTTATAAAATTTATGTGAAAAGGTTTGGTGACAGCTAAGTATAGTATTTAAGTATTACAATGTTGTATAAGTATCATTTCAACTATGTTAAGACAAAGGCCTACGTACAAAGAAGTGCAGAGAATATACAAAAATGGTAATAATTACCTTGAAGTGGTATGAATTTAAGTGAATTTGGCTCTTCCTTCTTGTGAACATTTGGTAGAGATATTATAAAAAACTTAAAATATTAAGATATCGAAATCACTTTTTATAGAATGAGGAAAATAAAATAAAATTTAAACTAAGCAATCTTAAAACACACTAAGCTCTTTGGTTAAATATTTTAAAGTCAAATTCAATTTGGCTTTCTGATCAATCTTAGGTTTGAAATACAAATTCTAAAATGTACTGATTATGCCCATAAGATTTGAAAGACAATATATAATAGACTATAGGAGTGTAGTATAAATGCTCAGAGAAAATGGTGCCTATGTGTTATCTTGTTCTGAGGACTTTAAACCTCCATCCAGAAATGATACCTGGTTAATGTGGTAACAAGATTGCATTGGTACACAGTCCAATTGGTCCATTGGTCTCTCCCATTTCCATCTCCTCTCATAGGACAATAACTATATTTTAATGCAAAATTTTTGGAGAAGCTGTGCCTTTACCTTACCGGTGAGAATTTCAGATGCTGAGGCAGGTTAATGGAATAATCCTATTTGATCAGGCATGATCTTCTTGCAGCCCTTAAATCACAACATCCAGAAAACTGCCCCAGATTCAGACTTCACCTATTCCTCCTTGCTAAGAGTGACAAATGGTCTCTTGATAGTAAGCTGTGTATGTACTTGCTAGATAATTAACACCTACAAATTGTTACTCCTCAACACAATCAGGATAGAAAAATGCAGTGGAGCAGACAGATACCAACCTTCAACCCCACTTATGCACTTGACTCTGTCCCGGACTTCCACATTGTAGCCTTCAAAGGACATAAACACACCATCAGGGTGATACGGGGCTCTCTGTGCATAGACTTTGGAATAGCTATGAGAGAATTCAAACCGATCATAGCCATCATATTGAACCACCTTTCCATATACATCAAAATATTTCTCTACCCAAGTGAATGGAAGAAAGACTTCATTTCCCTCTCGTCTCCCTTTAATTGTGTGTTCATCATTTATGAGACAGTCAATTTCTTCATATTTGAGCCCTAACACCTTGCTTCCCCCATTGCTGTTGAAGCTCCCAACAACAGGGGGTGCTTTCTGCTGTTCCTGAGGGAATGCCTCCTCAGACTGTTTGGCCATGTGGTTCACATAGTTGTTACTCTCAGATGCTGCTGCTCTTTTTTCTAATCCATCCACTCTGAAGCCACTACTCAAGTGCCGTGGAAACTGGATCGCTTTATCGCTGGAACATTTATTCCACAAAAGTACTGTGACCAAAGTGAAGAGTGTGCAGATGATAATCAGAGTCTTATAGCTGACCCGAGCTGCCAAGCAACGCATATTCAGACCATACCTATGGAGGCAAGAAGAAAAATTCATGCAAAGATGTATTGCAGACATTTCATAGGATAAGGTTTTATTTTTTCTTATATTGAACCACACTAAGGCAATTTTATTCACTGTAGCAATCTGATCAGATTTAAAGTTACTAACTCAAACTTTTCGGCAGAGACAAAGAAAAGGCAAGAGGAGCTTCCCCCTCTTAAAATACTTAGTGTGACCCTTTAAAATAGATATTCTCAAACTTTCTGTTTGTGACTCTCTTAGTATCTTAGTAATTGTTTCAAAGTCTCTGGGCCAAAAGAAATACCTAATAGTTTCATTTATTAAGTAGTTGGGTCCAAACAACTTAATGCATTATTTTTGTCCCAACAAGTTAGCTGTTTGAAAAAACATAATGGGTATTGTGACAGTAAACACGGACATCCATGTTGCCAAATCCAACAGTGAATTTTTAGTGCTCATCCTACTTGACCTCTCAGCAGCATGAATAGTCAATGACTCTTTCCCGCTGGAAACACTTTCTTTTCATGGCTTCCAGGGTACCATCTTCTTGTGGTTCTCCTTATACGTCACTGGCTACTCCTCCTCAGTCATCTCTGATCATTTTTTCTCATCCCCCTGACCCTGAAGTGTTAAGCGTGCCTTAGAGTCTCGGTCCTCACACCTCTTTATCTCTATTCACTCCTAGGTGATCTCACCTACTCTCATGGCTTTAAATACACTTTATATGCTGACTACTTCCAAAATTCCATCTCTAAGCCAGATCTTTCTTCCGAACTGCAGACACATCTATTTAAGTGCCAATACAAGTAGCTGACATCTTTACTTGGAGATCAAATAGACTTCTGAAACATCCAAAACAGCTCCGTCTTTTCCCCCATCCTGTTTCTCTTTTCCTACTGCTCAGACTAGAAATCTCTACTCCTTTTTTGCTCACCCCATATCCGATCAGTCAGGAAATGTTGTTGGCTCTACCTTCAAATTATACCCAGAATCTGACCTCTTTCCCTCAACTCCACTATTACCACCACATCCAAGCCACTGTTATCTTTTACTTGGAATACTGCAGTGATGTCCAAACTGGTCTCCTTATTTCTACCCTTGTTCTACTATTCTACCCCCAAGTCTATTTTCAACAATAGCCATTAGAATGATGCTTTTAAGTATAAGCCAGATCATGTCACTCCAGTCACGATGGGAGAAGAATGTGATGCTGTTGCCCCTGCTGGCCATATGGTGTATCAGCCAGTTGTGACTGAAATTAAAAAGTAGTCCTGAATTGTCTGTTTTTGAGGTCACTGGACTATGGGAAATTATGGAATTAGTCTCCTTACTGTTTGCTATAGTAGCTCTATAATTTATTTTATGGTATAAATCCACAACTACTTACTTTGTTGTAATTCTTTATCCCCTTTTTTCTCTCCCCTTTTGGCAGCAATGAGATTTCTTTAAAAAATCAAACCCCAAAATGAAAATGTTTAGTGAAATATTACACAATAATTTTCTATTTTTTAAGAAAGCTGATGGTGAAAGTGTAACTCCTTATCTGTTTATCTATCTATCTAAAGTAAGCTTTACACCCAATGTGGGGCTTGAACTCATGACCCCAAGATCAAGAGTTGCATGCTCTACAGACTGAGCCAGACAGGTGCCACTCACTCATTTAATTCCAAAAGAAGGTACTTTTGAATCCTTGTATGTCTAAAAAAGACCTCAGTCTGCTCTTAACCTTTGATTAACAGTTTGGCAAGATACAGAATCCCCAGTTATACATTATTTTCTTCTGAAAAGTTGTAGGTAATGTTTTATTGTCTTAAAGCATTAAGAGAATTACTGATGACAGATTTGAATTTCAGTGTGGTACTTGTCACTTTGTACATGGATCTTTTGTTTGTCCTTGGAATTGAGCTTCCCAAGAAAGTAGTATATTATGATATTTGATTCACTATTTCAGCACTTGCTGTGCCCTTGTGACCTGAAAACTTGTGTTCTCTTATTCTCGTTTAATGGGTGTAGTATCTTCCTGCAGCCCTGAGTAGATCAGAGTTCGTTTCTTGATGAGTTCTCTCTGATTAGCTCTATTTTCTCCAGTAGCAATTTTTCTGATTATCTTAGTCTCTCTTTCATGCCATCCATTTTCCTCACATCCCTGGTGATCTTGGTTGCTCATTAGTATTTACATCTGAATGACTCATTAGCCAACACAGACTTCCTCTACCATTGTGGAGATGGTCTGATTTTTGGCTAGACTGCTCTCCTGAGGAGGACTCTGTGTGGGTTAGGTACAGGCTGACTGGCAGTACTCCTTTAGGGTGCATGGGTAAGGAGCCAGCAGGCCCTCTAAATGCCAGAATGATGGAGTTTTTCTTTTGTTCTGGAGAGATAACTTGTACTCTAGAAGCCTTAGCTTTTCCCAGTTTCTCTAAAGGAAATCTGACGTTTTGCTTCGGGTTCATGCCTGCTATCAATAGTCCAAGTGCAGGGATGAGAACAGTATAGGGAGATGAGAGGGTAGAGCTGTGCCTTCTAGTACTTGAACAGAGATCCAGAAATCTGTTCAGTTATCACTCTTTCTACTTATTGTTATTGGTTTCTTCATTTCTTATTTCTATACACTTTATTTCAGTAGGGCATCAGGAGGGAAAAAGGCAAAGACAGGGTTTGGTCCATCTTGGAAATCTTACACAGATTTAAGAGCCAGAATCCAGTTTTTATCATTTGCATTATGACTATGAGAAAATGTTTTGAATACTAGAAAAACCAAAGCGTGGTACAAGGAAACCTTCAGAAGTCATACATTTATAAAGGATTTCCTTATATTGTAGTACAGGCAAACCGATAACACTAAACGGTGTTTATTAAAAAAAAAAAAGCAATCCTTCTTTTAAGCATTCCTTAAAAACACTTATGTGCTAACATTTGAATCATTTGTCAGCTATAACTAACATTTAGATCAAATTAAAATAGAAATATAAAGATTTTGTCTCTTCTTTGAGAAGTGCCCTTCCTCCATGACTCAAATGAGAGTAAACCTGCTTATGGAACTAGACTACCATTATGATGAGACACATGATGGGAAAGTAAAGAAAAATGAAAATAAAAAACTTTCATTAACCTTTATGCCCAGACTTTGTTATCTGATACCACTTCTTCCTAAAAGCAACGACGGCTTCTTAGAGAAATGGATTTCAAGTCTAGGGCCTTGTTATGCCAGAAAATAAAGAAAATTTTCAAATATCGATGAGATCATAATCCAGTGGATCAAAAAAGCAGTAGGATATAGAGAAAATGAGATTGGAAACACTGGTTATTGCTGAAGCTGAAAGATATGTTGAAGGTTCACTATATTATTCTCTATACTTTTGTTTGTTTGAACATTTCCATAATTAAAAACATAGTTATCGGCTGGGGCGCCTGGGTGGCTCAGTCATTAAGCGTCTGCCTTCGGCTCAGGTCATGATCCCAGGGTCCTGGGATCGAGTCCCGCATCGGGCTCCCCGCTCCGCGGGAGGCCTGCTTCTCCCTCTCCCACTCCCCCTGCTTGTGTTCCCTCTCTCGCTGTCTCTCTCTCTGTCAAATGAATAAATAAAATCTTAAAAAAAATAAATAAATAAAGATTAAAAAAAAAAAAACATAGTTTTCGGGCGCCTGGGTGGCTCAGTTGGTTAAGCCACTGCCTTCGGCTCAGGTCATGATCCTGGAGTCCCGGGATCGAGTCCCACATCGGGCTCCCTGCTCAGCAGGGAGTCTGCTTCTCCCTCTGATCCTCTTCCCTCTCGTGCTCTCTATCTCTCATTCTCTCTCTCAAATAAATAAATAAAATCTTTAAAAAAAAAAAAAAAACCATAGTTATCATAGCAAAAAGACACAAGAATCCACCTGAAAGGTCCTTTTCCCTGTAAGTCAAAGTTGCAAGAATTATGCCTGATGTTGACTGAAACACACTGAAACAATAAAAATCCATGAGTCTACAATGATACTCAAAAAAGAGAAAGCCAGAAAAACAAATCAAAACAAAACAAAACAAAAACCAACCTTATGTCATCTTCTGACTGAGCTGGTTAAAACTGGTAACTAAGTGAAATTATTTATCTATCTGGCCTTTGCAAGAGAACAAACCAATAGCCCCAGATGATAAAGAATTCTGTTACAGAAAAAGGGTGGCTAATGATGTAGAAGAAAAATTCTAAAAATATCAGAAAATTAGCATTAGTATTATATTCAGGTATATGTTTGATACGGACCTTGAGATTCATACTGTGCAAAGTAACACCAAATACATTATTTTCTAGTAGCAAGATAAAAAAGCTGAAACTCTACAATGAAGGGATCAGATTCATTACCCTAATTCAGTGCTCAAATACAGTCTCATTTATGGTGACTCATCCAGATACTGGTTTTTTTTTTTTTTTTTGGTGAGTTAAAATAAAAAGTAAATAACCTATCATATAGCCAGCCAAAAATGTTTAATATGGATCCCTGAGGCATTACAATTTGACTCTTAATAAAAAATACAAGAGATAGAGGAACAAGTTAAATGCAGATGCAACCAGACACATCTTTTTTTTTTAAAGATTTATTTATTTGAGAGAGAGAAGTGAGCAAGCATGCATGTGAGTGGGGGGAGGGGCAGAAGGAAAGGGAGAGAGAATCAATCCTCAAGCAGACTCCCGCTGAGCACAGAGCTGGATGCGGAGCTCCATCACAGGACCCTGAGATCATGACCTGAGCCAAAACCAAGAGCTGGCCGCTTAACTGACTGAGCCACCTAGGTATTCCTCAACCAGACACATCTAGAAGGCAAGACATCCCGCAGGAGAGCTGGCCCTGTCCCCTCAAAAAGTCAGTGGTATGAAAAGAAGAAGGGGACTAGGTCAGATTTTTTTTCCCAAAGAGACTTATTAGGGCATATGACAACCAGATGTGAGACTTGGTCCTCCACTGGGAAATCTGACTATGCATTTGAAGACAGAAGGACATAGAGAGACTGCTAATCGAAAAAAGGAGGAA